GTGTCAGTATTGATGTTTTGAATTAGTCTCAGCTGATTGCGGGTATTTCTGTTACCTATTGTTGTCAGCCAAACTACTCCAAGTCTTAGTGGCTTAAAACAACTATTTATTAGGGTGCCTGGGTGGCTCTGTCAGTTAAGCGTCTGCCTTTGGCTCAGGTCGTGATCCCAGGGTCCTGGGATCGAGCCCCGCATAGGGATCCCTGCTCAGCAGAGAGTGTCTGCTTCTCCCTCTCCCTCTGCCTGCCTCTCCCCCTGCTTGTGCTCTCTCTCTCTCAAATAAATAAATAAAATCTTAAAACAAAAACAAAAACAAAAAACCTCAAGTGTTTATTTGCTTATGATTAAGTGGGCTGGCAATTTGGGCAGGGCCCATCTGGCTTGCCTCTATTGCACATGGAATTTGCTGGGCTTACTCATGTGTTTGTGGTCATTTGGCAGGTTAGCCAGGGGCTGGTTGTACCTGGGTAGCCTCACTCCATTGTTGTCTATCATTAGGCTGGAGCTGTCATCCAGGGTACGGTGGCCTCTCCTGCAGTCTTTCTTGGCTACCTTGCATGGTGACTAGGTCCCAAGAGAGTGAGAGTGAAAGTTACAAGGTTTCTTAAGGCCTGGGCTCAGAAATTGCACAGTGTCATTCTTGCCACATTCTGTCGGACAAAACAAGTCACAAGGCCAGCTCAGATTCAAAGGGTAAGGAGGAAATGAACTCCACTTTTTGATGGGAATTGCTGCAAATAATCTGTGGCCATGTTTGATCTACAACATTGGGCATTCATTGTTCCTCCTTGTTCCTTTCTTTCTTTCTCCTTTTCTCTCTCTTCCTCCTTTCCTTCCATTGCTCCTTTTAAATGAATTGGATAGTTTGTGGGTTTTTTTTTAAATTATTATTGCCCTTTCTTCTTGAAGTTTATGTCAAAACAAAGCTTACTTAAAGGATGTCGTCTGTGATTACTTGGTGTGGCCAAGGACCAGACATTTTCAGGTCCTGACTTTGTGACTGTTTTCCAAATCACCATAATAATACCAAACATCTCTTAATGATGAAGGATTAGTTTCTTCCCCAGGTGATTTTGATCTTTTTTCTTTTTATCCTTTTTTTAAAAATTGGTAAGACCTGAATGTTAACACTGGTCCTTTTATGAGCTCTATTCCCATCTCTTCCATGCCTTGTTAGCCATCTAGAGTCACTTATATGAGCCTGAAATGACAACTTTTTTTCCGAGGTCTCAGTGAAGTCAGGAAAGGAAAGGCTGTACAGCAAGAGAACAGGTCTGGACTGCAGTTGTCTTGAGGAGACAGTGTTTTTATATGTGAAATAAACAAGAATCTTGGGCAAGGTGCAGATGTCAGTGACCTGTCAGCCCATCAGGATGAATCAGCTGAAGTCCTAGATGAGGTGACAATGTCAGCACAATGAGCCCCTTACCCTAAATTTATTGGGCCTCTCATTAAGGTAGCTGTCATAGCCCTTATTTTAGAGAAAAGTCAGAGTCATTGTTCAAGATTCACCTGACTTTAAACATTATTAATTTTGAGGGGGAAGGTCACTTTCAGTGTAAGAGTACTATTGGAAGTGACATGTGGCTGGTTTGCAGATTACAGCCATTTTGGTGTGTCCAAGTGTTACAGTTGTTGGGATCTTTAAAACTTGCCTCCAGGTAATTGGAGGCTATTTATTCTGCTTTTCCAAGTAAGTTTAATTAATTGTCTTGGGTCCCAGACAAGTAGATTTGTTAACTGTAGTTTCTGATTTATCTGTTGCCCAAACCTGTGATAATTTGATGGGAATAGGAACTCTCAAGGTGGCATTTTATTGCAAAAGATGGATGTTGGCTGCTAAATGCAGCTGATTAGAAGGCTGGGGCACAGTATCTGTCTTCCTGGTGACAGGATCATTATTAAGGCTTTATAGAACACACCACCAGTCAGATGGCTGAACTGAATCTTCCTACTCTTGTGAGGTTATCTTTAAGGCGTTTGGAGTACTTCACAGAACTCTTTATCAACTGTGTTCTCTTGAAGGCGTTTGCACCTTGTATCAGTTTAACCTGGTTGTTCTGGGTTGCGAGGCACTCCTTAGTACAGTGCTGGTAACCAGATCTTTGTCAATTGCTGCTGCCTGAGAACCTTGGGTTTGGGTCTCACAGACCGCAGAGAACAGTGTTGCCAGATAAGATTGCCATCTTATTTTCTGAGTGCAGATTTTGTCTTCAGAGAAAGCACGGGAGCTGAGAATACAAGGCAGTTTGTTAGAATGAAGACAAGAACACAGGGTTTTGACGGCTTGGCCATCCTATTGACTGTACAAATAAGTTTATTTTTAAAAAAATTTATTTATTTGAGTGAGAGAGAGATCATGAGCAGGGGGGAAGGTCAGAGGGAGAAGTGGACTCCCCCCTGCTGAGCCGGGAGCCCGATGTGGGACTCGATCCCAGAACCCCAGGATCATGACCTGCGCCGAAGGCAGACCCTTAAATGACTGAGCCACCCAGGCACCCTGGCTGTACATATAAGTTTAAAAAAATTTTTTAAAAAACCAAAGTTTACCTCAGAGGTATTATTTAGCTTTGTAAATTAGTCAGACAGCTAGAAAACTGTTACACTGCTTATGTGTCAGGCACTATTTCACATTGGAGGTACAGATAAGAACAAGACATATGAGATTTCATTTGAAAAGATAGACAATTTGCAAATAAATAATTACAGATTATGGTGAATAGTATGAAGAAAATAGATGTGGTGATGTGACAGAGTAAGGGAGAGGGGGATAGTCAGATGGGATGGTCAGGAAGACCTTTTTATAGTGGTGTGTGAACTGTTACTTAAAGGGAGGCAGAACCAGCATTTCCTGATGGGAGAAGAGTGTTCTGGCAGGAAGAACAACAAAACAAAGGCCTCATGGGGAGTATGTGGTTTGGTATGTTCAAGAATAGGCAGGGGCCAGATTTTGTAGGGCTCTGTAGACCTCACTTAGGATGTTGGAAAAGCATTGGTAGAAAGAAGCTGGTTGATCAAGAAAGCTAAATGACCTGATTTACAGTTTTAAAAGATCACTCATGCTTCTTTGGGGAGAACGGATAGCAGAGTGCCCAGAGAGGAAGTAGAGAAATTAGTTATGAGGCTATAGCATTTTATTAGCAAACTACATGGGGGTTATGGAGGTTGGACGGCAGAAAGGAATTGAACTTCTTTCCGAAAGTATTCCACTTTTAATTTTGATAAAATTACAAATAGGGCCAGAAAACCATAACATCAGTAAGTCCTAGTGTGTGTTTTGAATTATGTTGCTCTTGATTCTCTAAGTCAGTGTTGGATAGAGAACTAACTCTTGGTATGGCAAGGCTCTCAGCATGAACTCACTATGCCCACTTAAAAATCAGGCACATCTGGGCACGGCTTGAGGGCCTGTGGGGAAAGGCAACTAGTAATTTCTTTGCATAGGGGAGAATAAGGCATTTCCTGGGGGGACAAAATCACCAGGCTGACAGTGTTTCAGGACCAAGGTTGGTGGTGAAAAGGGGAAGGGCGATATCCTGGCCATGCCTCCCAACCCTTACCAAACTCCCACACATCTCTAATGCCAAAACCCGAAGGTACAGGGGCTATAAAGAAACCAGAAGAGCTTTTTCATAGAAATCTTAGAATGATATCGGAAAGGCAGACTTTAGCAATGTGATACTCATGGGATAGAGTTGTAAAACAAACTGAAGAGTTAGGGATACTCTTCACTTCAGCATAGGACACAGTGGGGCTTATTTTGGTATTTTGAGGGTTCCAAGAACACAGACTGGCTTGGCATATTAAGGGTTCTAGTGGTGGCATTCAGCCCTCAGAGTTCCTACTGTGGATTAAGCAGCAGCCACCTCTCAGAGTCCTGTAATAGCAATGGCAATAATAATAATAATAACAAATATTGTAGTCAGAGTGGAGAGATACTAAATTATGTGCTTATAGTATTTATTTCTACTCACAGAAGAAAATTCTGTCTCTGGCTTCTTTATATTCTTCTCATCTACTGAGAGAGATTCCCTGTCTGCTAGCTCAGTTTCTAGAATTGGCTTGTATAAAAGGATAATGGGTAGAAAACAGCTGAAGAATTTCAAGCAGTAAGACTGGATGATTAACTTATATTAGAAAGTGGACCAAGAACTGCTTATAAGAAGAGTGGATCATTAGAGGAGAAAGAGCCAAGTGAGCAGAGTGTTGTACTGTGAATTGAAAATAGGAATAGGTAGGGGCCCTTGGGTGGCTCAGTTGGTAGAGCATGCGACTTTTTTTTTTTTTAAAGATTTGATTTATTTATTTGAGAGAGAGAGAGAGTGAGTGCTAGCTGGGGGAGGGACAGAGGGACAGGGGGAGGCAGAGAATCTCAAGCTGACTCCTCACCCAGCCTGGAGCCTGGTGGCAGGACTTGATCCCAGGACCCCGAAACCATGACCTGAGTGGAAACCAAGAGTCGGTTGCTCAAACCAAGAGTCTGGTCAAACCACCCAGGCACCCCACAGCATGCAACTCTTGATCTTGTGGTCGTGAGTTTAAGGCCCCATGTTGGGTGTACAGTTTACTTAAAAAAATAAAACTGTGCATTTAAGCAATGGATTTAAAAAAAAAGTAGGAATGGATATAGAGGGTTCAGGGCAGGTGTAGGGTTATGAGAAACATTGTGAGCAAAAGGAATTGGGAAAGAAGATATTAAGAAGCTGCTGTGGAGGGGCGCCTGGGTGGCTCAGTAGGTTAAGTGTATGTCTTCGGCTCAGGTCATGATCTCTGGGTCCTGGGACTGAGCCCCAAGTTGGGCTCCCTGCTCAGTATGGAGTCTACTTCTCCCACTCCCCTGCTCATGTGTGCACTCTCTCTGTCTCTCAAATAAATAAATAAAATCTTAAAAAACAAAAAAAGCTGCTATGGATTTTGAAATGGATATTTTAATTTTCTTTGGGAGTCTCAATATATTAAGATTTAAATTGCTTTTAACTTTTTTTTTTTTTTTTTTTTGAGGTTAGACTTGTTTCTTATATGTGATGCCATTCCAGCACTGGACTCATGGAGGCTGAACATTTATTCAGGTAATTATAGGTAACATTTATGGAGCACTTTCCGTGTGCTAGGCAACAAACTAAGTGCTATACCTGTATTCTCATTTAATTGTCACACAAACTTGTGAGGTTGGAAGTGTTACTGTACCCATTTAATAGATGAAGAAACTGAGACTAAAGTATATTAAGACTGAGTTCACCTGAATTAAGAAATAAAAAAGACTACTGCTATAGTTGAAGTGAGAGATGATGGTAGCTGATGTCATTAGATAATGTCATTCCTCACCTGTCATAAATACATGAATGTAAAGTGGTTTTGACTGAACTTCACCCTCATTTCCATAACTTTTCCCACTAGTGAATACATCATACTTTTTGTTTGTCTTTGAAACAATGGACATACTTTTTGGTAAAGAAAAATCTAATTTAGAGTTTTAACTTTAAAGCTTTTCTAAGTTTGAAGCAGTTTAAATTTATTTGAGTGAATATCTACAAAAGGTAAATAGATATTTACCTTACAAAATAGGTATTTACTTTATCTTACAAAAGGTTAATAAATATTAACAGAGAAATTCTTAAAAGATTATTAGTATGGATGATAGGACTCTTTTGTGTTGTTTTCATCACACTTGAAATACTGTTCACAGATGTTTTAGCTTTAAGGAACCTTACTAGGGCTTCTTGTAGGAGCTTTCTTGGTATGTCTGAATGTTTATTTACAGATCATACTAATGGTAGTACTTGCTAGAACTGAGAGGGTTTTTAGCACTACCCGAAAATCAGTCAAAAATGAAGATTCAGGATCTCTGAAATTATAATGTTGGTTAATAGAAGTATTTGTAAATTTACAGAAATTCAAATTTATATGCTACTGTGAGTGGTTCTCCATGTACAGTTTTGCCAGGTGTTGTTTGTATACTCATCAAGGTAAAATAAAACTGTTTTTATCACTCCCTTATCAGTTATTGAGTTGCCAGCATGAATACATTGCCCTATTTCCCCTTTCCCCATCTTTTTCAAAATAGATCTTGAGCTATAATTAACATACAGTAAACTGTACGTATTAAAAGTGTACAGTTTGTTAAGTTTTGACGTATGTGTTATTCACTCATGAAACTATTACCACAGTCAAGATAATAAAAATATCACCTCCACAAGTTTCCTTATCCCCATTTTTAATACTTCCCTCAACTTGTGATCCTAGGCAACCACTGATCAACTTTTGTCACTATAGAATGGTTTGCATTGTCTAGATTTTTATATAAATGGAATTGTAAAGTATATACTCTCACATTATTTTTTGTTTGTATGGGTATATACTTTTTTCCCCCTCTAAGTTAATGTCTTTTTTAAAAAATTGCGGTGAAATTCACATAACTTATAATTAACAGTTTTAGTGTATAGATCAGTGGTATTTAGTGTATTTATGATGTTTTGCAACCACTAGTTCTCTCTAGTTTCAAAATTTTTTCGTCATTTTGTAAACCATACCATACTCATTAAATAATCACTCCCCATTCCCTAATTTGCTTTCTGTCTCTGTGGATTTGCCTCTTCTGGATATATCTTACAAAAAGAATTAGACAATATATGAACCTTTTGTGTCTGGCTTCTTTCATTTAGCGTAATATTTCAAGATTCATCCAAGTTGTAGCATGTATCAGTACTTTTATTCCTTTTTATGGCTGAATAATATTCCATTGTGTAGATCTATCACATTTAGCTTATCCATTCCTCAGTTGGTAGACATTTGGGTTGTTTCCACTTTTTGGGTACTATAAATAATGCTGCTGTGAACATTTTTTTATAAGTTTTTGTGTGGGTATATGTTTTCATTTCTTTGGAGTATATATCTAGGAGTGTAATTGCTGGATCATATGATAACTCTGTTGAACTTTTTGAAGAACTGTCAAACTGCTTCCATAGTGGCTGCATAATTTTACATTCCCACTAGCAATGTATGAAGGCCCCAATTTATCTATCCTTAACTAAACTTGTCTGTCTTTTGATTCTAGCCATCCTAGTAGGTGTCAAGTAATGTCATTATGATTTTGATTTGCACTTCCCTGATGACTAACGATGTTGAATTGAGCTTCTTTTCGTATACTTATTGGCCATTTGTATATTTTTTTAAAGAAATGTATATTTAAATCCTTTTCTTTTTTAGATAACTTGTCTTTTTATTGAGTTGTAAGAATTCTTTATTATGGATACAAGTTCCTTATTTGATACACGATTTGCAGATATTTTTTTCTATTCTGTGAGTTGTCTTTTTATTTTCTTGATGGTATTGTTTACAGACAAAAGTTTTATTTATTTTATTTTATTTTTTAAGATTTTATTTATTTATTTGACAGAGAGAGACACAGCAAGCGAGGGACCACAAGCAGGGGGAGTGGGAGAGGGAGAAGCAGGCTCCCCGCTGAGCAGGGAGCCCGATATGGGGTTCCATCCCAGGACCCTGGGATCATGACCAGAGCCAAAGGCAGACGCTTAACGACTGACTGAGCCACCCAGGCGCCCCCAGACAAAAGTTTTGAATTTGATGAAGTCTGCTGATCTATTTTTTCTTTTGTTGCTTATGCTTTTAGTGTTATGTCTAAGAAAGTTTTGCCTAACCCGAGGTCATGAAGATTTATTCTAGTGTTTCATGTTGAATTTTATAGTTTTAGCTTTTACATTTAGGTCTGTGATCTGTTTTGAGTTAATTTTTGTGTATAATATGAGGTATAGTTCCAACTTTATTCTTTTATATTTAGCTATTCACTTGTCCCAGGACCTTTTGTTGAAAAGACTGTCCATGGCCTATTTGATTGTCTTGGCCTCCTTGTTTGAAAATTGGTTGACCACAAATATAAAGATTTATTTCTGGGCTTTCAGTTCTATTCCACTATAGCACTGTTCTGATTACTGTTACTTTGTGTGGTAAATTGAAATTAGGAAATGTGAGTCCTCCAATTTTGTTTTTCTTTTTTCAAGATTGTTTTGTTTGGTGTGCCTGGGTAGCTCATTTGGTAGAGCATGTGACTCTTGATCTTAGAGTTGTGAGTTTGAGCCCCACGTTGCGTGTAGAGATTACTTAAAAAAAAAAAAAGATTATCTTGTTTATTTTAGGTCCCTTGCATTTCCATATGAATTTTAGGATCAGATTGTCGATGTCTTCAAAAAAAAAAAAAAAAAAAAAGCCAGCTAGGATTTTGATAGGGATTGCATTGAATCTGTAGATCAGTTTTGAGAGTGTTACCACCTTAGCAATATTAAATCTTTCAGTGCATGAACGTGGGACATCTTCCCCCTTATTTAATAATAAGTTCTTTAATTTCTATCAGTGATTGTTTATAATTTTTTTAAAGATTTTATTTATTTATTTGAGAGAGTGAGAATGAGAGAGAGAGAGCGAGCACATGAGAGGGGGGAGGGTCAGAGGGAGAAGCAGACTCCCTGCTGAGCAGGGAGCCCGATGCGGGACTCGATCCTGGGACTCCAGGATCATGACCTGAGCCGAAGGCAGTCGCTTAACCAACTGAGCCACCCAGGCGCCCTATAATTTTTAATATATAAGCCTTACACTTTTTTAATCCTATTCTGTTATACTTCCTTGTTAAAATTATACCTAAATATTTTATTATTTTTGTTACTACTGTAAATGGACTTCTTCCCTTGATTTCATATTTGGAATATTCGTTACTTGTGTATAGAAATACAATAAATTTTTGTATGTTGACCTTGTATTTTGCAACCTTTCTGAACTTGTTTATTAGTTTTTAGTGGATTCCTTAGGATTTTCTGTATATAAGATCATGTCATCTGCAAATAGAAAAATTTTTTTGTTTTGAAGACTTATTTATTTTAGAGAGAGAGAGTGCACGAGTGGGGGGAGGGGCAGAGGAAGCGGAAGAGAGAATCCTCAAGCAGATTCCCGGCTGAACAAAGGGCCCAACTTGGGGCTGGATCCCAGGACCCCGAGATCATGACCTGAGCTGAAATCAAGGGTTGGCCACCCAAGTGACTGAGCCACCCAGCTGCCTCTGCAAATAGAAAAAGTTTTACTTTTCCAGACTGAATGCCTTTTCTTTCTTTTTATTGCCTCACTACCCTAGCTATGTTTTTTCCTTATGTTCCTCAGACTGGATATTCTTTTTGTTTGTTGTTTTTAAAGTTTTTGTTTATTTATTTAAGTAATCTGTACATCCAACGTGAGGCTGGAACTCACCCCAAGATCAAGAGTTGCATGCTCTTCTGACTGAGCCAGCCAGGTGCCCGAAGACTAGATATTGTTTTGTTTTGTTTTTTTAGGTTTATTTATTTTGGGGCACCTGGGTAGCACAGTCGGTTTTGTCTGCCTTCTGCTCAGGTGTGATCCCAGTGTCCTGGGATTAAATCCCACAATGGGCACCTTGCTCTGCGGGGAGCCTGCTTCTCCCTCTGCCTCTGTCTGTCTCTCTCTCACTCTGTATCTCATGAATAAATGAATAAAACCTTTAGGAAAAAAAGATTTATTTATTTTGGAGGGGGGCAGGGACAAAGGGAGAGAGAATCCCAAGCAATTCCTTGCAGATGCCGGAGCCCCATGTGGGGGTCAATCTCATGACCCTGAGACCACGATCTGAGCTGAAACCAAGAGCCATGCTCAACAGAATGCACCACCCAGGTGCCCCCAGACTGGATATTCTTAATTGATCTAGCTTCAAGTTTGTTGATTCTTTCTTCTGCCTGTTCAGATCTTGTATCAAACCTCTCTGTTTATGTTTTTCATTTTTGTTATTGTACTTTCCACCTCCAAAATTTTTATTTGGTTCCCCCCCCCTTTTTAAAAAATTTTATTTATTTATTTGACAGAGAGAGACATGGCAGAGAGGGAACACAAGCAGGGGGAGTGGGAGAGGGAGAAGCAGGCTTCCTGCCGAGCAGGGAGCCCGATGTGGGGCTCGATCCCAGGACCCTGGGATCATGACTTGAGCCGAAGACAGACACTTAACGACTGAGCCACGCAGGCACCTCTGTTTGGTTCCTTGTTATAATGTCTATCT